AACTTCAACTACAGAGCAAAGACTCCAAAGAGTTTTAGATGTAGATTTTACAAATGGATGCCCATTGATTCCAGACCTCAAACAGCCTCTGCATGAGATTAAAGGTGCATTTATTCGGTTATTTGGCTCCAAACATCCAACCAACATATACTGCTCGTGTTACCTATCTGCACTTAACTCTTGCCAGAAAATCCTATCAGATTCACTACTTAGCAAACCAGAACACATTCTGTTTTTAAAATAAAGTGTGCTAAAACTAAAACAAAGAAGAAAAGTCAGCGCTATGAAGGCAGTTAAAGTAGTCCCTACATAAGGCTCTTTGAGGTTTGCCCTCTATATAGAAGCCAATTTTCACTAAGTAGCAAATTAGAGCATGTGGGAACCGAGATTATTACATCTAATGGAAGGTACAGAATAAATTCAGATGGGTGGAATTTATTGGATTACTCTGTTTAGGGAATAGAAGTTAAACACCTCTAACGAAGCCATGAGATTCTTAATGAAGATGAGACTAGTTAAGGCCTCAGTTCTACATCTCAGCCCGAAGAAGCACATTTCTAAGATCATTATCACATTCAAATTGAGGTTTTGCTTTTTCTCCCTTCTGCCTTTTAAAACAAAATCCAAATGAACGCTCCAAGAAAACCCGACTATAAGTTGAATAATATAAACTGCATCCATATGAGCTGTGAGGGTATCAGCTCTGTGCTTCCACGTTTTATTTGAAACGACATATCTGAAAAGTCATGTTGTTCATTTACAAGACATAAAAGCTACTTATGATTCCAGCACCAAGTAAACAGAAGAGAACTGTCCCTGTTTCGTTGATCTGATTCATATATAACAATATGCCTGTATTTCTCAAACACTGCATATCTTCTCTGCCTAGTGGCAATCCTACATAACAAGTGATATCTAAATGCATTTTTTCGGGGAAGATAAAAGCTCCATTATATGACAAGGAATATTATGACTAACAGAGAGATTATACTAATCATGAGTAAGAAAGATGATGTTTGATCCTACTTGTGCAGAAAGTTTTTTAAAATTTAAAAAAAAAAATCTTTTAAATGAATTTCTATCCTCAGGAAAATGATTAAAACCAGAAAAGCCTTGAGATGTCAGCTGGTGACATGTTTTTCCTCTTTATCTTTCTTTTTTGTTGTTGTTGCTGTGAAAAAAAAAATATCTGAGAGAATACAGCAAAGTGCATCATTAACTTCTTATTAATTTTATAATACAAAGGCAATTCAGTTAAAATAGTAGTGCTGCAACTTTAAATTACAGAACTAGCTTGGTATTTAATGAGAGATTTAGCACAGCAGGGTTTCTGTTAAATTAAGTTGTGCCTTCACATCACAGTGGGAAAACAGGTGTATATTGGTTTAGAATTATGGAAATGTTGACTAATTCCAAGGCTTGTAATCAAACAGCAAGGCACCCTGCAATATTTTCTTCCAAGATCCTGCATTAATCATTTATATCTGGTCTTATTTTCTTCATGTCCACTAAAAGGATGCAGCTCAAAGGAGCAGATCAAGCGCTCATGTCTCTGTTAAGGATGAGGTCCAGGCAAAAAGCAGAGATAGAGACAGAGCACCGCAGGCTTTGCTCAAATACCTACTTAAATTAAACTGAACATGCAGTCTTGGAAGGGGAATGAATTTCACACTAAAAATCCCACTTTTTTGGCTCCACTGGTGCTGATCCAAAACCTCCTTACTGAGACACACGGAGCAGGTCTGCATTTAAGAAATGAAGGGACTAGCCTCAAAAATAATCTAGGCTCATTCATTTAATGAGGACAGAGGTATTCTGCTTCACGCCTCTGCAGCAGCACAGGTTACACCCGAGCGCAGGTAAAACAAACATGAGTTCCAAGCACCACAGCATCCCTACAGCCCCCTGCTCCTGCCTCTGCCAGCTTTCCTTACCTTACACTAATAAATCACCTGCCTTTGCCTCGGATTTTCTTCCTGGGCTATTTAAGGATGCCTTATCTGATGCATGGTGGTATTACAGCACAAGTGAAAGGCAGAGATTCTTCTGTTTCCAGGAGATGCCTTATTACTGAACCTCCTACCGACCATACCTCGTTTACTGGAAGCAAGCTGACACTTGATGCCCAAATGAACCTGATCCAAATTCATCCCTTGTTGCAGCTCTGCCAGAAGATTGCTTCCATTTGCTCTGAGATTATTTCACACATGGACCTATCCACTACCGATTCCTGCTTCTTCAGTAAAAGCTGCTTAGCAGGCAAGAGCAACAATACAGAAATTGCTAAAATTCATATATGGAGAATCCTGCTAACGTGAAGTGTTTTCAGCACGTGTGCCACAACTTTAAAGCATGCTTAAATGAAGTTATTTTGGGCATACACAGATGCAGCATAACAGTATCTCCATATATGCTGAATGCCAGCATACTGCACGTGCAAAATATAGAATCTATTATATAATATATGCTGAATCATCCTGAAAGACAAGTAGTAGATCTGCATTCAAGTTGCTTCTCCTTATTAGAGGTGTCCACTTAAAAAGTAGGCATAACAACTTATCTCAAAGCCAAATCTAAACATCTCTGGCTGTATCAGGCCCCAGAGTCACAGGGATGCAATTTCTACATTTCCTTTAAAGAAAAGTTTGTAACCTCACAGTCAGGACATAAAAACACAGCTTGGAAAGACAAAGAACTAGAGAGAGCTTTAGGAACATTATTATTTTTGAAATAAATAAAAAAAAAAAAAAAAATCAAAAGGTACAGTAGTGTCCCTAACTGCTGCCTGCTCATTAGCTGTGCAAAACTGGGGGAGAAAATGATGCCCTGCTCAAGTAACGCAGAGCTGTGCCAGCTTTGTCATCTGAATGTGTAGAAGTCCGAGAAGGAGTCTGCCTCTCCCAGACACCCACTGGGATAACCAAGATCTCTCAAAACACAGCAACCGGCTTGAGGGGCTCAGGGAATAGCAGAGGAACAAACAAAAGTGGCTGAGGTAGCTGGGGTTATTTAGCCTGGAGAAAAGAGGCTCAGGAGAGATTTTAATGCTCTCTACAACTACCTGAAAGGAGGTTGTAGCCAGGAGGGGTCAGGCTCTTCTCCCAGGCAACCAGTGACAGCACAAGAAGAAATGGCCTCGAGCTGCGCTAGGGAAGGCTCAAATTGGACATTATGAAGAACTTCACTGAAAAGGTGGTCAAGCATTGGAACAGGCTGCTCAGGTAAGTAGTGGAGTCACCATCCCTGGAAGAGTTCAAAAAACAACTGGACGTGGCTCTCAGTGCCATGGTCTAGTTGACATGGTGGTGGCTGGCCCAAACGTTAGGACTCAGTGATCTTGGAGGTCTTTTCCAACCCTAATGATTCTATGTTTCTAAAAGGACCCTCTCTATTTCTAAGAAGACTGATGTGTAGATCTTGTGGCAGAGCTTCAGGGATGCTGTCTGGGCAGGGTGCTGCTCCAGCAGCTCAGGACCACCTCCACTAGAGTGTCCATCCAGCCTGCACAGCCATTTTGACTCTAAGCATGTTGGAGAGCAATTGCTCAGTGAGCTGGTTTAAGTGCAACATTAGCTGAATTGGGTTAGAGCACTCATCCAAGGGCTCGGCTTTTTTCTGGCAGTGGGGATGGGAACCAATAAGAAAATCATCTCTCAGAGCCCTCATTTCTCTCTGAGGATGACAGATCCCTCCTGTACAACCTTAATGCCGAGCCTGCTACTGGGAGGCTTTTAAGGTCTCAACACTGCCCCTTTTGAGAGCCAGTTGCTGGAAAACATCATTTGAATCTCAAGTGCCGCAATTTTTCTCCTGTTTTCCTGTGGCTGGCCTACCTCTGCAGATTTCCTACCACCACTTCTAGCATTTACACTTGCAAAAGACAGAGGAGTCCAATTTTGCCTTGGTGAATTAGCAGGATTCACAGGTAACTGTCCCACATACTTCTCTACACTGGTCATTTCCATGACAGATGAGGTGGCTTTCCTAACAGGAGTTGCATAAAATGAGCTGGCCAGATGTGAATTTTTCAAATATACAGTGTCCAATTTCATATATAGCACATAAGAACTAAAGGAGATATTGGTCATACAATGTTCAGTCCAGTCAATGCTCCCTTCATTTATATAGTGTATTTATTTATTTTCATGTCTGTAACCAGACACTTCAAACATATACTTCAACATTTTTCCTACATCAAGGGGGAATAAACCTCCATTCTCTATATTTTTTTCTTTTCCATCCTCAAAATATTTGGCTACGTTCAACAGGAAAAATGAGAAGAGTGGAACAAGAAGATTTCAGAGTTAAGACATGCAATTACCAGTGATACACTTCTCTCTAGCCCTGTTATTTAAATATAAACTACCACAGGGTAACGCAAGGAACACTTTGTACAACACAACCACAACTGTTTTGAGTGCTGGTGTGAGTTACCAGTGGGAGCAGGTGGTGAGAAGAGGTGGTGGCAGGGAACAGGATGACACTGTGCATGCAGCAACGTGGTACCACGCTCTACAGCACCCTGAGATGGGCAGCCACCACACCAATGCATCCAGGCTGGTAAGAAACCATGTGGATAAAGGCTGTGTTTAACAAAGTTGGCTGGGTTTTTTTGGCTTTTGTTCTTCTCTCCCTTTTGAAATTTAAAGCCCTGTTGGTGTACTGTTTTCTGCCATATTTCCACCCCCCCCTCTCTCTCTCACTCCCTCCCCTCTAAGTAAAATAAAAAAATTAGAAATGAATCTACATTGCACTTTGGTCACTGCCTAGAGTCAGCAGGTATCAGCACAATTTCCAGCCAAGGGACTTTCTACAGAAGAGCAGCTGCCTGTGGAAATGATGCCATTGCTACAGGACTGGCACCGGTACAGGACACACCATCAGGTTTGCCACCTTCCTTGCAGAGATCAAGGTCATTCAGGGTACCAAGCAACATCAAGAGCAAAAGGGCTATTTTTCTGGCAATAAAATAATTAGGATCAAAAAGTAAATGTACTCACCCCAGGTAAAGTTTTAATATTGTGCAGTGCATTCTGTGCCTCAAGAGCAGCTTTTCTTGTATAAAACGTTACGAAACAACAACCTATAGAGAGAAATGAAAAGCTTTCAGAAATTAGTGAGTACGATTTGTGAGAGTACAATAGGCAGGGAGAAAAAACAGTGGTTGAACAACACAATATGAAAGCTGGAAATGTGAATTATCCTGAGGCTGCCTGAATGACATGAATAAAAGAAAGCTTGTGTGGTTTAAAATAAAAAGTCCCCTCCTGTGCATTGCATCTATAGCACACCTACATTGTTAGTGAACTGTAATCACTTAGAAATTGTTAACCAAAATCCAATTGGCTTTGTACAGTGTAAATAAGGTTATATTTTTCTGAAGGCTCCCCATTATACTTTGAATATAAGCAACATGGCAAGCTCAAGCAGCAGGAATTCATTGTTGCATCCCAGGCAGAAAATCAGGTTAAAGCAGGACCTTATTTAAAGGGCTTTACATAAGAGAGCTAGGGTTGGTTCCCCTCCTTTTTGAAACCAGTCAAGACTGGAGGTAGGACACTCATCTCAGTTGCAAGAATGAAAAATGAGCTACAAGAAATTCACCATCATGGGATAGTGGAGCCTGCTGATGGTTGACAGCATAAAGGGAGGCTCTGCTCACCCTGCATCTGCCTAATCCTCAGTAAAGAAGGTGGGTTTAGCTGCCTTAATCCTATGGTTTTCCCTTTGACAGCATGGTCCAACTGGGTGGTCTGTGGGACAGGTTGCTGCCACTTTCTCCACTGCAAACATGTAAAGTAGCTTTTGCTGCAGCACACACAACCCAGGCAGCTCAACACCACTCCCAGGGTGAGGTCAGGGCTCACAGGTAGATCCCCAGGGAAGAGTTAAAATAGGACATGCATGGGACAAACAACAAGGACCAGGGTTTGCCTTGCTGTGATCTGTAACATCCCACAGCAAAGAAGTCTGCCCCTGGGCATGCAGGGGGTTCATGCAAAGAACCTACTGAGGGAGGTCCTGGTTGCCAGTGGGATGTTTGACACAGCATCCCAGCTTGTGACTTCAGCTTTATTTCCAGCGGGAGGGAAACCACTTTGAGGGCAACACTTGCACACTTAAGTCCATAACACAAGACTGCAGGTATAGACACAAGGAGAATTCATGCTTGGAAAGCTCCCATCCAGCACAGCGAATCAGTGATGCAGAAATACCCTTAGGGAATAATTCCCCTACTCTATCCACAGGGGAAATACGGTGGGGCTGAATCCAGCCCTTGTCCCATGGACATAGGACAGTCCCTGCTTTGGAGCCACGTGACAGCAAGGAGAGACCCCAAAGCTCCTACAGAGCTTGTGGATGCAGATGTGGTGGTTGGTGACCCAGCTACTAAGGGGAGAGGAAAACATGCTGGAGAATGCAGGTTGGGAGGCAGAAGTGGCTCCTGAAGTAAAAACCTACTTCGCATCAAACAAGATGATGCAGGTTTTACTGATGAATCAGAAAGCAATCCTGTTCTCTTAAGCACAGTCAGAGGTTTGTTACAACTCCAGAAAAATGTCAAAACCAATCAGTAAATTAAAGAAACCAGAGCTCACGAGCCTTGGTATTCCCTTGGAGCGTGACACAGACAAAATAATCTGCGCTTTAGGCAGTGAGCAAAGATGATGTTTGCATCAGCTCCCTAATGTTGGCCAAGGTGAAGCAACCCAGCCCACCTGCCATGGCCACTTGTGCTCAGCAATGCAGCATCCTCATAATGGCAAAGGAGACAAGGAGCAAGCATGGACAAAGCAGAACACAGCAAACATTGTAAGTGACTGTGTAGAGGTGGTCCTTGGAAGGAAGGGCTGAATCCAGAACTGCCCCTCTGCTGCCTCTTGCTTGGCTCAAGCTGTGCATGGCACTGGGAATGCTCCCTCCACCTCTGCAGACAGACCAGTAACAATCATTACCTCCATAACAAGCAAAGGTGGCCGTGTATTCCCAGCTGGAATACAGCGAGTTTATCCCTAACACAGAAAATCACTTGCAGGCACTACAACACATGATGCAGGTAATGCAGACATAACACAGCTGAGAGAAACATTTTTCATACTGCCAACAGCTTCTTTCAGATTTCACACTTTACGATGGAGACGGTTTAATAATTATTTCAGTAAGCAGAACATTGTTCTCAGGGATGTGTGTTACAGACAGCCATAGCCTGTTTGTGCTTCCTGTGAGTGTTTGGAAACCTTTCATTTCACTGGAAAATTCTGAAAATTTGCATTATTTTTCTCCAGAATGAAAATAGGAAACAAATCCGAGTTTGTGACATTTAATAGTGCAACTTTGAGACAACATTGCAACATTTTTCTATCCTGCCAGCTACTCCCAAATTCTATCTTCTCTTATTTCTTAATTTGGTTTATTATATTTTTAATATATATAGCTTTTTAACCAGGAGAGAGTATTCAGAGGGGAAAATATCAAGCTGTAATCACAAGTTTGCAATTGCCATGTCCTTTTCCACAGGCCCAAAGAGTTTCATTTTAGATTTCAGCTCTGTGGGTTCATTCTGATAAGGAGAAGTTTGAAATCTATTGGTTTATCATTCTTGGCACTACTTGAAAGAACTGCACTTGAAAGATGAATATGCTGTGAAATACCCTTTAACTGGTCATTTTTGGGAAGCAATAGCTCAGGATAGAAAAATGTCTCTGTGAATGAGGGCTGGAAGAAAACAGTAGCTTAATGGGAAATGTGCAGATGTTCCAGGCAGGTTATCAGACCTTGACAAAAATGAAGACTTCTAAGCTCACAGACTGACACTTTTGAAAATGCACAGGGATAAAAATTTTTCTGGACACATTTGGCTTGTATCTTCTTAAAAAAAACCAAACCCACAATAAGAGCCTGTTTGCTGTGGTTTGAGGAGAGCATGGACACCTCATTGTGGACATCTGAATCTGCTACAGAGGTCAGGGCTGGACTCAAAAATGAAAATAAGAAAACACAGAAGAACAGAAAAAGGAAATAGAGTGCGTGGTCCCCAAGGAAATGCTATTCCTCAGCCTTTCTAGAGGTTCTTGCTGCCATGTTATGCAAACAGCATTGAAGATACCTTCAGTGTAAAATCTTTTTGGCTCAGTACATAAGAGAAAGTACCAAATTCAGTCTTTTCTGAAGGAATATTGAAAGGGAAGACACCTGTGTAAAAGGACATGGCTAATCTGTGCTTTAGGACTAGTAGCTGTCCCCTGCTGAAAGACCTTCCTCCCTCCATTTTCCCAAAGTAAATGTAATATTGCCAAAGACAATCAAATTGCCCAGCTGGAAAAGAAAAAGTACGTACCTATTGAGAGACAAGCAAAAAAATACAATGCTCCCCTCTCCAGCCCCCTGCACACATAATCTAAGCTTCATCACCAACAAACTCGACAGCATCTTGAACCACAACTAGGCTTTTCTGACACTCAAATAACTCAAAGCCCGGCAGTGATAACCTTCTCCCCTTCTAGTCAGGGCAACTTAAAATGTGAATTGGTTTGTGGACATGGGTCTGCCAATCCTCAGCAGCCTGAAATACAGCCTAGTTTAACTCCACGTGGGTTAGCGTATTCTTGCCCAAAGACACAGGAGCTTGTGCTGCCAGTCAGTGCCTCCAAAGCAGCAAATCTCCTGCGCTCTGCTAAGCTGGTTGTGCTCTACTTGGAACAGTATTTACTACAGCGTAAGACATTTCTTCTTTGTACCTTGAAAAAAAATACTGAATGAATCATGCAGATCCCTACAGTCCCTTAAGGACATCGGCAACAACTTCATGGCTATCCTGCCAGATGCTTGAACAGACTGAATAAAACCTGCCACTCTGTGCTGCTCAGCATCTAATGGCAACAAATGGGATGCCTGAGAAACAGCAGCAGAAAACAGCCCTACTTCTCAAGGCATCTGACAAGCAAACAATTTAGTGTGGACACTACAATGCTCAACTTCAACACCTCGTAAAAAAAAAAAAAAAAGGGAAAAGATCTCTTATTTCAACTTGTTTTTTTTTCTCACTCTCTCTCTCTTTCCCCCTTCCCCCTCCCCATTTTCTTTTTTTTTTTTTTTCAAAGGAAATTTAGTGCCAGAAAAAGACCTCAAGGTCCCAGCCATTGGGAGAGAGTTGACACATTCAATTCTCCATGACACATTCAATTCACAGGCCCTTGCTCAGCCTGCGAAAGGCACCAATTAGCACCAGTGGTGGAGATTTTATTTATTTAATTTCCAGGGAAACCTGTTTAGCAAGACGGTGACACGGGCAAAACACCTTGTGTATGGTTAGAAACAGCTTTACATGAGTCACCGTCAAAGATGGCAGTGACAGATTACAGGGGGACCATGAAGCCACGGGTTCACTAAAGCAGTCATTTAGGAGTTAGGGAGGGGAAAAAAGAAGAGCAAGTGGTGAGGACTCTCACACCACTGCAGCCATGAACTTCTGCTGACAGCGAACCTGGGTTTTTGGAGGACACACGTGCGCATTGTGGAATTATGACAAATTGCAGTTTTCGCCCTGAAACTTCAAAAAAAATGCCTTTCCTCCTGTAAGCAAGAGGATTTTTTTCAAAGAGCTGTTAGTGACCTCATGCAATGGGACTTCTCCTCCTGTGTGACTTCTGCTCTATGACCCACATTTACCTGCCAGCAGAGCAGTCATGGCTTTGTTAGGCTGTAAGATACAGCTGTATGACATCGCCAGGAGCTCCGCCATCTCATTATTTTTATCACTTTCTCACAATTCAAACACAGACTAATTACTCCATGAGAGCTGTTTACATTTCTAATTTTGAACAACTAACAAAGGGAAGCTCTCCTCCACTCAGAGATGTGGCTTACACGGTCCTCGTTGGCATTTAACAGGCACTGGGATCTGTGTAAGAGGCTTAATCTCTCAGCCAGGATTTCATGCTTGAATGAATACAGCAAACCTCCATCTTGCTTCGGGTGCGAAAAAGTCTCTTACAGCTCCGTAAACTGACTGCACAATTCCTATGTTAAAGTTACCAGGAACTACACACGTGCAGCAGTACAAGAAAATAACCCTCGGATGCG